GCTAATGTGGGGCAGTATGTGTCAATATCACAAAGATTGCATTATTCAGAATATTGCCAGTTTTGCCACCTGAAATTGCATTTGATGCCTTTAAAACTATGGGGACAATCTTCAAAGAACATCAGAAGCGATTTTAGGGATTTTTAGCAGAATGCATTCAATGTGGCAACGAAGCTTGGGGAATGTGCTACAACGAGCTTTGTGTTATGTGTTACCTAATGACTGTATTATACAGAGCAAAAACAATTACAGCAAAATAATGAATGAAATCATCCATGCGATATCTGTTTGCATCGTCATATCACGGCGCCTTTGTGAGCAAAATCCCCGGGGATTAACAAAATACTGTCGCCAAATAGACGAACCATTGATCAAACGCAACGCCTGACAGCTCTAGTCTTCAAGACCTTCAACTCCTGACACATGGAATGCTAATGTGTCTAATGGATGCTGTGGCATCATACTTTCAACAGTCTGTATACAGTTCTTGCCCATGAAATTCAAATCCTAACTGTCTTTACCCTTGCAAAATATGTGAAAATGCTGAATGCACGTTACGGAAATGTATTTGTATCGTCTTTCAACATACCAGGTTGCTTGCCAAACTAGTGTGGTCAAGAGGTACTAGGTAACAGCTTCGGAAATGGATGATTTGGTCATGAATATGATATGTGGTGTCAATATGTGCTTGCAATGAACAGCGACCTTGGTAGACACGGTTTGTTCTTCAGGTGATGCATGTACCTATCTTGGCAAGGAATGTATAAAAAGGAAGCTGTGCGTGGCACCGCAATACGTTATGGTTCTGTGTAGGTTGACATCAATGGGGGCACCCCGTGGTTGGCGGTTCTCGTTTGCTTGTGTAACGTGGTAAAATTTACAATGCAAAAATAGTGTCTGAAAAAATACATATTTTTCTTAACATAAAGTCTGCAATGGCATATTTATCACGTCGTTATGCAATTTTTACTTTAACAAAGTAATCTGTAACTGTTGTATCGTGCGTACACCCTGAATAAGACTGATCTTGATTTGCCTTTATTACATTGCAAGCTGTGTTTGGACTCATTTCCACCGGAACGAATAGCTTCATTACGTTTACTATGTTATTGCTGAAATGCCAGAGGGTCAAGGATGATCTAGTAGCCTGAATTGCCAAATATGGCTGCTTAATGCTTTCAGTAGAATTCAGTATGTGCCTGCAACTGCTGATGTTAGCACTTGATTAATGGGCCTTTTAACTGCAGGTTCTTTTGAATTGTCCTCAAAACATTTCCAAGAATACTTAGCTTATGTTGGAGCCATAACGTGGTTTTAGATAAAGTACCGTCTATAAAAATAGTTTAGTACCCGGGCTGCAGCTGGCAATACATCTTACATGTTCTCCAGCTACCCATATACAGGCATCTAGTACGCCCCGTTGGCTAGTACATGGGATTTGGCAATCGTCGGCAGGTTGTTTTGAAATGCGTATTCTAAATCAAGTCTCATTCCCAATGCTGTATTTAGAATTAGATTTTCCATTAGCCATATGTGTTAAATCAGAATATGATTCTGGTATTTTGATGATGTTTACATGCTATCTTGATTTCTAAAAATGGGATTAATTTTGCAAACTGTTGTTGAATTTAGCTATATAGCATGCTAACAAGGGCGATAACCTGTTACATAAAAGCAACAGCTCTTGGATATGCTTACCTTATGCTTACATTATACTTTTAATGATTACAATTAACAAAAGTTGAAGTTTTTTTACGTCTTTTGTGCGAATGAATCAGTCTGCTACTGCATAACATGGCAATGTGACTGTCTTGTCCCGTGTACATGATCAGGATATTGATGTGCAGTCATGAAAATGTATTCATTTTTTGCCTTCTTAGAAACTAAACATGCTTTATGCTAATGGGTATGAAATAAAAGTTCAAAGAGTAATTTGCATGCCATGAGACATGTCCTTTCAACTTGCACGAAAGGTTTACGGTCTATTGAACCTCCACTTGTCCGCCTCTGTGTTTGATCTAGTATTAGTGTTCCTATAGCAGCTTCATAACCACTCTAAGTGTGAGTCAGTTTCGGTACATTCATCCTCTTCCACCATAAAGCGGCTAGCTACATACAGGTGCTTCAAAATCTCTATAACTTTTAAACACTCTTGGTTCTTATCTTTGGGTAACGATTTTCCATTAGATATGATCGACATCTGCGTACTCGATGGAGAAAGGAGCTCAAGAGCAGAGTTTGCAGTCTGATTTACGCTATAAACGTAAAGATGACGAATCCCTCCAAGCCATCCGGCTCTTGAGCTAATGGTGCTCTCGGCATTTAGAAAAAGAGCTTACTACCATGTTTCTCTGGCTATAAAAGAGAGCTTACTGAACATGTCTCCTACGCCGGCCGAAAGATGAAAAGACACGACAAAATATAATGGTGGTTCTTAGCCAGGGGGAGTAGGGACGGTATGTTGCAGGTCAACCTGATGAAAGTTAGATAAAAGTACTCATTGCAGCTGACGCCCGGGGAGACATCGCTTGATACAACAAACGCGAGGGGATAAAAAGAAAACCATGCTCACAGATGTAGTTATGATAAAAGCAGTGTTACATGCATGTGTCGACAAACTGTGGTTCTAGAGGCTGCAGACTTCTGTAAACCTCACAAGTAATTCAATTATTCCAGAACTGAAGACCATACCCATCGCACTATGGCACTCTAATATAAAGACCTTCTACTTCCTGGACTATAGCAATAATTTAAGAAGGTTATACTAGTATTCAACATATATCTACTCTAATATGCATGCATGTGGAACTAGCATAAAGGGCGCTCTTATACCCATCCCGAAATAAATTCCAACTACTGTCTTTAAAACCTGACTATAAAATAGCTTAATGTTGTTCCAGAGTCCGCACGGTCAGGTTCATTTTATCAAGCAATGGGCTTATATGCTGGCGTTCAATGTAATCCTAACACTTCATACACGTAACAACCATGAGCGTAACGCGTAGATCTTCATTTTCCTGCCATAAACGTGGCTCTTACAGCGATATGCCCTTTTCCCTATGGCATTTCAGCTGAAATGAACGGCTCAGGAACGCAGCTTAGGTTCAGCCGACCGGCCGCTGATGCCATCACTGCAGCAGAACTTTCATTTTGGGACAATATGCTGACTTTGGGTCATAAATTGTACTTGTTCACGGTGGATGCCTGGTAGATACAGTTGAAGTAAGACAACATCAATGCATCAGCTCTGACGTGAATAACTGGATCACAAGATGGTATTGGTCCATTCTTACTCCTTCTTTCGTTTGGAGAAATGGGTTTGTGCCATTCATGCAGTCAAATTGTAACATGTAACACAGTAAAAGAACCTCTTCTCGATCTCCTCGTACTGCAAATATTCTCCACAAGCAAATAGTAATTACTACTTCAAGCACAACGGGTTACCTTGAGTAAGTATGTGTAGTCTGATGCGATACAAAATCAATGATGCAAAGAATGCAGATTAACCTGTAGCAGTTTATAATGCCGCATTCTGTGGATCTTTTTTATCTGTGATTCTAGACAAAACCTGTATCTGGACGGACGTCTGTATGGCATCATTGCAGTCCTGATAAGTATCTAAGTAAGTAGAGATGATTCTTACACTCCTTTGACTCAGCACAAAAGCCTGAGCACTAAAAATCAATCATATAGGTACCCAGGTGGACTTTTGAAATCCTGTCTTGACTCAACAACACAATGATAAAGGATGAATAGATCCTTAAGTCGTGATAAGTGATTCAAAGAAGAAAAAGCTCTTGCCTGTAGAAAGCAAGATAAGCAAGTTTGTATGTGTTAATGCCATTTATGAAAGAAGAGACTTGATGGGGATGTATCCCTGGCATTTGGCACTGCTGCCAATAGAGTTAGTAGAAGAGCAATGCCAACAAATCACGGAATTTTTATGAACGGTGTTCTTCAAGCAGCCCGTACCAAGAAACCCTACAAGTTGAGATGACAGTGCTGCAGGTAGCGCCAGGCAATAAAAGCACTTCGTATTCCGACCGCATACCTGGGGTCACAGTGGTAACTGGCGCCTTAGTTATTCATTTAAATTTTAATAAAACATGAAGTTATTGTACAAGCGGAAGAGATTAAAAGCCACGTAGCGTTTGAAGCCAGCTAATATAGATGGGATGAAGCAGTCATCAAGGAGTTTATCATTTTTTGATTGCGTCTGTTCCTTACAGGAAATTAATAGATGCGGAGATTATTGCTAAGGAAGGCAAAGCCTTACTGAGTCTGATACGCATGAAGGCTTTATCCTAACGAGAACAAAATAATGAGTAACCGTTTCTGTAATAGATTGTGCCGTAGGCGTCTTAGCCGATGATTTGTTCTTCTATAAGAACAGTCAATGCCCTTTACATACTCAACAAGGAAAATGGGACTTTATTTCAATACCCTTTGTGATAACAATGACTTCTAGGATGATGTAAAGACATGGGTAAAGCATTAGGCAATTTCCTATGTTGTTACAAATAGCTGTAAATTCAAATGGTTTATGGTCCAAAATGGAATCTACCCTTGATTTAAGGTCGTACAGATAACAAAGCACACCGAGAGGCTTACTGTTCTTTGCTAATCAGCTGCGACAATGAGGAATGCAAACCCAATAAAATATTAAGACGGGCGTCTAGATTTAGATATTCAATTTGATAACTGAAATGATAAGGAAATATTGCATGCCATGGCTGTTAAAAGCACAAAACACGAGAGGTAGATGTAAAAAAATGCACCGCTGCATGGTCTAAAATATTGCAGTTCATTCAATAATGAAGAACCAAAACAGCTACTTAGCATCATATTTCTACACTAAAGATTGCCTAAGTAGAAAGTGCACGGTGTGGCTAGATAACCAAAATTTTGTTGCACGACAAACTGATAACCAATTATCTATCCCATAAGATGGAGCTTACCACTTTCAACTGAACTGTAAAATGGTTTGAAGATCCCCTTACCTTTCATGGCCATGGAGAGAACCACTACCAGTTGTATCGCGTATCTCCTGTATGGATACATGGTGATAGCCTGTGGACGAGTGTCTGCAGTCAACCGCCTTCTGCTACAGAATGACGGGACTCTGTACGCCCGGCGTATAAATACTGACATTCGCGCATGTGAGGCAGCCCCGATAGGCTGCGAAAAGCAGCCGTCAAAATCGATTACTCTAACATTACGTGACAGAACTTCAATACAAATAAACCATTGACTCAAAGTGATAAGAGAACCTCATTTGCATTTCGCCGTGCTTAAAGCAATTCTTAGGTTCCGCAATATGTGAACAAGCTGGTGATTTTACAACACATCGAGCCAGCACCGCCCAACTAATCCAGCGTGGCTGGGGATGCTTGGTGGGGGTCTTTCCTTTCAGGAAGGGCGTTCGTACGATTTCACGGAAGCGGAAGCCTGAAATAATGGTATAAGGTAGAATAGTTTTGGTGACATCGCGCTACACAGGACCTAATGCCCTGTTATTCCACACTGACACGGCAACGAACAGCCGGCGAATTTCAACTTGCTACCAAACGTGACGAGAAAGTAATATTGGTGGAAGATTTCTCACAAAATAATGGGGTTTGGTAAAGGGCTTTTGCAAACAGGCCTGCCAAATGTAACGGGGGCTGTATCGGTATTGCTTTGCCCTTTATTAGTATTTTACGCACGCCTAAGCCCCCCGCTCTGAAGACACGGAAACTAAGGTTGTGAGTAGAGCTGCATATACTTTCAACTCGTTTAAACTGTAAATGCACTTGACACTTTGGAGGTGATAGGTGGGCAAAGAATGGGCATTGCCTGGCGTCAGGCATCTCCAAATTGGACAAGGACAATCTTTCCGGTAATACCCCCTTTTCCGGGAGGGCTTAATTGAGGAGAGTCTGTCAAATCCAGTGAAAAGTCAGGACCTATGTATGCAGATATCCCTTCTGGATACCCTCAGGTAAAAGCAAAAACGGCATATGGTCGGCAGTCTATTAAAACTAAGCATGCACATCATTATTGCGGTGGGTTTGGCGGATACAGATTTAGTTAAGACATTTGGAGACAACTATAACACGAAGATAGATGTTCTCAGATATCCCTAAATCTTACTCAATGCGCAGGCATTTGTATCGCCCATGATACAGTTGTTCCTTTTAAAGGGAATGGATAGGCGGCTTAACTAGAGGGAAATGCCATGTGAAATCCGACATTTAAGTATGATAAATGGCACTGGAAGAGCGACGCCGCTTACACACATCTGTCCTCGTTTAAGACATAGTCTGCTGAAGAAGCGGCAATGCAATGGCATGCAAGACGCAGCAGGCAATCTTGTTCCACATCAAGAGCCTACATTGTCTCTCGGTAATTTAAAAAAAGAAGACTAGTAAAACTTCAGATATCATCATTTTTAACCAGAGTAGTTCTGGCGCTGGGACTCGTACCGTTTCGAGTGACTGCCTCGTGGGGACTTTCTTCACAAAGGCGCCGCTGACCATGACAAATGTCGCTACCTTAATGGTGAACATCATTACTCGCTCTTCCCTAAGGTTGTGAACTCCACTATCGTTTCACTTAATCGGCTGGCGTTGACTCCTCGTTACTGGCAGCGGCGAATGCCTGGAGGAAGGCTGCGAAGAAAATGAGTGCCACTGACTTGACCTTGCACTCCGTCTCGTCGAAGATGGATGCGGCAAAGTTGAGTTTCATACAGCACGTCTGGGAATTCCTGCACGTCCAACAGATCTAAAGTTGATGTCCCGGGAGAGTGTCACTGTACTCTTATGTCAAGGATGTGACACGAGGTGACGGTAAAGTACAATCTGTACAAGTTTACATGTACTCCAAGTTGTGCTTTAACTTTGTCCAGATACCCCTGTGTACACCAAACAACGTTGGTATGTAATTCAATATCATCAAATTCTTATTTATAGCTCTCCAAATTCCAAGAACGTTCAAAACTATTGTACTTCGTTGACATGACAGATTACAAACAATAATCTCCAAAGCCCAGTGCATCAAGTTTGTTGACACAATCATTAAAAATGCACAACTCATCTGTTGCTGAGGGAGTGAATTCCCTCTGGTAGATTTAGGTTCCTACAGTGAACCAGAAAGGATGTTTAGTCTGAGTAGTTTGAATGTAAAAAGCTTTTTTTTTGCCACGCAATGTCGGTATAGTCTGCCGATCGATGGTTTCTTGCCCGATGTCATATATCTAAACAGCATTACCACATTTGAGTGGGGGACAGACTATACATGTACAAGACGTGAGCGTGGTATAACAGAGAAAAGGCATGCATTGTACCCTGCCTAGCATTGCTAAGGAAATCCTATCAAAGTTGAATAATGCATATAAGTCCAGAATATAATATTTTTCTAGTTCAACAGTTTTGAACGAGTAGAGTTCCAGTAACTGATTCTTTCGTCTTTGTAGCACTTACAGGAATCTCTTAGAGCATTTAGTCGTACTGGGACAAGATTATATGGTAGTACAAGGAGCTTATACAAATCCTCCAATCATATCATCACGCGAACGTCATTATTTGCGTGCCACCAAAGGATGACAATGATATATAGCATATTTAGTACCGCATTACTTTCCATTCGAGAGTTAATACCGTGGAATTTATTTCCATTACACAAAGATCCGATGAGGTCACTATTTGGCCACATTGACTGAGTGACATTTAGAACTACTTACGAAGTCATTTCTAACGTTCCAATGACCACAGTCTGATAAAGACTCCTGTTGAAACGTTAATACTCTTCTCGATAATGACCAAAAGTATGGGTAAGCTATGGCAATAGGTAATCACTTCTCCAATTTGGTCGAAATCCACTGACTGGTGCAATTTAATTACGTGGAGAGTTCATTAACCTATTGGCTGGTTACTCAGTATAGCAGGGATGTGTCCATGGTGTAGATGGGAGCTTGGCAATCATCAACGTCTTCTAGGCATCGGGGACAAACTCTACCGCATAATGAAGTTCTTCCGAAGTAAAAGAAAAGACATTCAATTCAGTACGGGGAAGGGCCCATTGTCAGCACTGTTCAGGTGGAAGTCTCACCCTACATTAGTAAGAGCCCGCACACGTACACAGTCTAAATGGTTATGGGACTACGGCCCACACCTGCTTCACTACCCATCAGCTAAAGTAACATCATACCGTAGCAGTATGCAACATTACACTGCACGAAAAGTTGGATTTACCAAAGGTTGTAAATTCAGGTAATGTTTACTATGTACACAGTATCTGGCTTTACAATGGTAGTAAATAAAGGTCAATTGCAGTGATTTCCTTTACAACCCTTGTTAAGTCCGGCATTACCGTACTTGACTTTTATTTACTGCCATTGTAAAGTTCAGAAGTGTTTATTACAAAATCAAAGTAAACATTACCCAACTCTACTGGTACTGGTAAATCTAAGGTTTCGTGCAGCCCATAATATATATTATGGGCTCAGTTTTGGAGCAATCTCGGACTGGAACAACGAACCGTACTTATTTACAGGGTATTTAATAATCATATTATCAGCGGCAATTGATATTGGTATGTAACCTGGATATTGTTTTTTTGTTTGACATGTATTAATGTTGTTATTTTATGATCTTTATCATGTTATTAGTTCTAGAAGTGTTTTAGATTTTACTGTCAGATACACCCGAAAAAACAGGTCTGTTACTTAAATATTATGTTTTCTGCATAAACAAAATAAACTATTGCCTGTACATGTATCCTTACTATCGATTGGTAATGGCAAGTATCTAACTCCAGATTGAGACCAGTGGCCTTAACCATATTAAGAAGTTTATTTGAAGTCATTACCTCCCATTTAATCATCATTTATTTTCGTTGCTTCCTTCTAATTGCCAATAGTTTACTTGCCATATCTTCAATTTCTATTTATATTTTACACATGCCGGTTCAATTAATAAACGTGCTTTCTATTCAGTTTCTTTGAATTTATTTTTGAAAAGTGGTATATACTTTCCTTCTAGTATCTACATGTGTTCTTGTTGTGGTGTATCATTCTATTGTTTATGAAAAACAATAAAAATAATGCTACCTTGAGTTCAATGACATAATATATATAATATGACAAGAATATAGTACCAGATTATTGACATATTTAATCTACAATCATAATCCTAATGGCCATGAATATTCAGCCAATGCCCTACATGATGGATCATAATGCCGCCAGCTGCAATGCACTTTCCTGGCAAAGACGAGTTTTATTGTATTGAGTAGAGTCAACGTAAATCTCTCTGTTTTTAATGATGAAGAATATGACATTATATAACTCGATATACGTTCTTATGCCCACAGCGATGTGCCTCATTGGCACACGTAATGTTAATCAATCACTTCCCTACTCTTTGCCAGGAGAGTTCCTTAGATTAATTACAAGGTGTAATTGGCATTCATTGGGGTCAATAGCCCTTCAAAATCGCGCCAACAAATCCCATGTGAAGTAACATTTCATGGGCCTCAGCGATGACCTTTAAACTTTATGTGGAAGCTGATGATATTTATTGAGGTGCCATTTGCTTCTAATCGTCTGCCAGATTGCATATACATCACTAGGATATTTTATGCATGTTGTAGTCATGATAAAAACGGCACATTCTGGCCTGTGATATAGAGTGAATGATCCTGAAGGAAACTCTAGTATATGTGCGTGAACCCGTGAGTAATGGCGCTGGGTTTGGTCGTTGCTGGCAACGGCAAGGCGTCATGAATTTAAGATGGATTGAGTGGAGGAAAGTTTGGTTGTGAATTTGTATTCGCAACCTTGGACGATGTAATACAAAATAAATCATACAAATTCTCTGAAGAGTCTGACGGCTTAGATAGCAACTGCTATCTTTCATCAGCAACGTAAAATTCTCTGATGACAGATAGTAGATTCTATCAGAAATGTCTGGCTCTTCTGAGGATTTTTCCAGTCGCTTGATTTATTCTGTACTATTAATGTTCTGCTTGTATCTCATCGACGAAATATGGATTAGATTAAGCATGTTTTAAAAAGCACG